CTTTCCATTTAAATTTATTTCTCAATATGGCGCCCAGTCGCAATCTTGAAATTTTCATCTGTCAATTTTACTCTAAAATATAGTAATCATGCATTAGTTTTGTTATCCGAAATTTTAATTTTCTAAGTTGATCCGTTCAAAAAAATAAAAGGGGGGGGGGACATTAAAGAAATGCACTGTATATTATAAATCCTACAAAACAAGATTCAAATTTTATTCATTACCACATCACCCGATAGCGAACGGACTATAATAAAATTCTCAGACTCAATGACGTCACTCATAACGCCGTACAAACGTCGATAACAGCTCAAAAATTAAATAGACCGGCCATGCCAAGTGTACAAAAAAAAAAAAAAACCAAGTAACCGGTTCTCGAACTGGTCGGTTATTCGACCAGCTCTTTTATCATTCAGTTGAGCAGCGTGTGCATGTGTTTATATATATATATATATCTATATATATACACACATTACATACACGGCTACTACGTCACAGCCAACGTTGTAACTCGTAAATAATATGGTAGCTTTCACATTTCGCCGACGTTGCCGGATCTACGCGAGTCTCCCGTTATTTACTAGAATATCAAGCGGGGGAACTTGTTGTAGAATTTTATGTACGGTTATTTGTCTATGACGTTTGTTATTTACTATGAAAAAAAAATGGAGTTGTTCGGGATATATTTTTTTTCTCGTGCACGTATTTATCTAAAATAACCGATATCGCTATTTATGCACAGATATATACACGCAGAATAGAGTCGAAGAGATAACAAATTCCCTTGTAGATTGTGCTATATGCGTATTAAATGTTTGGTGTTTGGTCAATCTAGAACGTTCCAAAATCATTTAAAACTGTCTAAAACCATTTGGAACGCTTCAGACCTATTTAGAACGCTCTATAGTTATTTAAAAACCTCTAGAATCATTTAAAACTGTTTAAAACCATTGCAAACGTTCCAGAACCATTTGGAACCTTCCATAGTCATTTAGAACGTTTTAGTTCCATTTGGAAAGTTCCATATTCGTTTAGAACGTTCCAGAGTTATTTAGAACGTTTCAGAACCATTTAGAATGCTCCGTAGTCATTTATTAGGACGTCTCCGACCGATTTAGAATGATTCATAGTCATTTAGAACGTTCCAGAGTCATATAGAACGTTCCAGAACCATTTAGAACCTTCCATAGTCATTTAGAACGTTTTAGTGCCCATTTGGAAAGTTCCATATTCGTTTAGAACATTCCAGAGTTATTTAGAACGTTTCAGAACGATTTAGAATGTTCCATAGTCATTTAGAACGTTCCAGAGTCATATAGAGCGTTCCAGAACCATTTAGAACGTTCCAGTTAAACTTTTCATAGTCATTTAGAAAGATTCAGAACCATTTCGAGCTGTTTAGAACCATTGAGAACGCTCCAGAACCATTTAGAACGTTTCAAAACCATTTGCAACACTTCAAAGTCATTTAGAACGCTGCAAATATGAAGGTAGACCGCAAATATTACGGTAGACCGACTACTAGACAGGCTGCAAATAACCGATATCTATCAGACGTGCTATTTAACGCACATCAGATATACACACAACATTCGAAGAGATAACAAATTCCCACGTAGATTGCTCTACAAGCATTATGATATGTTTGGTTTTTTTTGGCTAGCAACGACAATAAAAATAGCTCGATTTAAATGGATAAACGAGGAGATAACGGCGATATCGTACAGGAACAACACCCAGATAAATAATTTACGTAAGAACAAAACAATCAGGTGCGTATTAGAGATATCGTTCGTTTGCGATAAAACGGGATTTATTGCAAAAATTCAAAAGATACATCGAAATTTCGAGTTTAAGTTTTTTTGTATACCTCATCAAATGTAGCTTGAAAGCCGCAATAATTGAACAATTTGATGATTCATATGGCAAAATTTAAATAAGGGATAGCTTTATTAAAATAAACACGTTATTATACACTTTGAAGGTGCAAATAAAAGAACGGCATGTATTGAACACCCTGTAAATAATTTTACAACAGTAACTTCGTGAATAGGTTGAAGGAATAGACTATTATTTAGGTTCAAAAGCAAATTAATACCGGATGTTTAGATTTTGAGATATGTCCAAATAAATCGAAACACACTGTATTCAAGTGTAGGGAATCTTAATGAAAGTATAAGCTCTTTTTTTAATGGCAATTCAAAAATGTCATCAAATATAAGGCGTTTCATAAGAAAAAATGTAACTTTGATACACTGCGCTTTTTTTGCGACACCCTGTATAATCGTATTTTTTTTAATGTAGACCTGCAACAGCAGAAATCGAACATTAGTCGCGCTTCACCCTGTATATTTTCAGAGTGTTTTTAAAAGTTTTTTTTTTAAAGTCAAATAGTCAAAGTTTTGACTATTTGATTAGTTAAATTTGATTAATAAAGATCTACTGTATGTACCTAAAATGCATATTTAAAAGAATTTTATGCATATTATGCTTAAATCTGATGCAATTTTCAACTGCCAAGCTACATTTTGTGAGGTAGATAAAGATCGAATTGAACAAAAACTATTTAGAGTGCAATAATTATTGTGGAACGTTTTAAATGAACAAAAACCAGCCCTCAAACGGGAAAGTTTCTTTTTGTTCTCGAAAAACGAGTTTTCTCCGCATAAAAACGTCGAGAAGAAATTCTTCTACATGCGAATCTTTTAACTCGTTTCTTAAATATTTCGCGATTTTTTTCCACATGCAATATGCATATAAATGCATCCGGTAGCCTGTATAGTCTATTCGCAGAACTTATATGAAATGCGGATTAAAAGATTTTGTATTTGTAATGATGGTAAATGGATCGGGTTCTTCCAGAATTCGGATCAATTGCACTAAATGTGTTGATCTGTTCATTATTTACATGTTTCAAATTAGAGTAGAGCGATGAGTAGAGGGTAGAGGAAGAGAATAGTGTATGGAAAATAGAGTAGATACTAGATAAGAGAATATAGAGAGTAGAGTTGAGAAAAGTGGGATGAGAATATAGAGAATAGTGGGAAAAGAGTATAAAGAAGAGCGCTGTAAAAAGAGAGTATAGAGAAGAGAGTTAGGGGCTAGTGGGAAAAGAGTATAGAGATGAGTGTAGAAAACAGTGGGAAGAGAGTAGAGTAGAGAATAGTGGGAAGAGAGTATAGAGAAGAGAGCAGAGAATAGTGCATGGGAAGAGAGTAGAGAATAGTGGGAAGAGAGTACCCAGAAAAGAGTAGAGAGTAGGGTATTGGGATACAGGCGGATTATTTTCGATTCACAATTAATTTGACCAGTTAACTTTGACCTTTATTTTGGATATATGTTTTGCATTTCACTGTGAATTTTTAATCCTACATGCGAATGGACTATAAACAAATTGTAAATTTATGATGTCGTGTTATAGCTACTGAATTTCCTTTTAAAAAACATAATTATTGATAACGAAACTATTGTAGTTTATATTGTTCACAAACAAATACGGAACGTGTAGGTGCCGTTTATATTTAGGAATTCCCGTTATTTTTCTCGTTTTGCATTGTTTTAGTTATTTTAGTGTTGGTTTTTTAAAGCACTTTTCTACATTTCGTTGCAGTACCTACTTGGAAATATTCTGGCCATAAGATAATGTATGACATTTCTATTTTATCGTAAAAAAATTAAAAAGGTACAAAAATGTTGAAAGAAGTGTTTCTTGTAGAACTCGTCGAATACTATTCAGAACTGTTATCAGAACTCCTGAGAACTCTCAAAAAAAATTTCAATCTCGGACTTGAACTTAGGAGTTCTGATAACAGTTTTGAATAGTATTCGACGAGTTCTACAAGAAACTTTAATGGTACTTTGCGAATTTTTCAATAATTAAAAAGTTATGGGTTGTCTGATAATATATCTAATTGATTAACTGTTTATACTTGTTTATTGATGAAATTTATTATTATTATTATTATTTTTAATATTCAGGAACTCTAGAACTCATCAAAATACATCAAATAAACTAATCAGAACAATTCCATTGTAAATTTAGGTTTGAAGTTAGCACCGCATGTTTTATTTAAAAAAAATAATGTGTTAAAACACCAGAACTATTATTTTTTGTACAAAAGAACTCCTAAACTCTCCAAAAGGAATCCAGAACTCTAATCAGAACTACTTAGAACTAAAGTTGCGGTGCCAACTTCACACACCTTATTACTAGATTGCAAGCTCTACAGGGTGTTTCACAACTTATCCGACAAATTTTAACCACATATGCACTGTTACGAGAGAAGTTAATTTCCCAAAAGAAAATGTAATAAATGTATTACAGAAATCGAGATAATAAAATAATAGTTTAACAGTTCAATTACTTATACCAGATGTTCAAAATTGTTCCCATTTACTGCAATGCAAGCTTGGGTGCTTGTTTTTTTTTGTTTTAACCATTGTTTTGGTGCAACATTTGCTACAGTAATGTATTAAGGCAAAATTATGAACGCAAAATGCAGTATTTATTTTTCAATTTTTTATTGAAACTCAGGTTTATAATTTTATTTCTGTAGGACTTTTATTACATTTTTTTTGAGATTTCTCAAAGAGAGAGAAGTTGATTTCTCAAAAAAAATGTAATAAAAGTCTTACAGAAATAAAATTATAAACCTGAGTTTCAATAAAAAATTGAAAAATAAATACTGCATTTTGCGTTCATAATTTTGCCTTAATACTTTACTGTAGCAAATGTTGCACCAAAACAATGGTTAAAACAAAAAAAAACCAGCACCCAAACTTGCATTGCAATAAATGGGAACAATTTTGAACATCTTGTATAAGTAATTGAACTGTTAAACTATTATTTTATTATCTCGATTTCCGTAATACATTTATTACATTTTCTTTTGGGAAATTAACTTCTCTCGTAACAGTGCACATGTGGTTAAAATTTGTCGGATAAGTTGTGAAACACCCTGCATAAAAAAAACCTCCCAAAAACCCAACCAACCACATACCATTGGTTTTGAATCCACTCCCGGCATCGAACGAAGCCGTCCTAACCGGATGCTTATCCTGCTTGAACCCCCTTTCGGCCGCCACCACAAACGGCTGCGCCAACGACACCGCCGGCAACGAATCGCCCCGCGTCAACGGCGGCCTCGACGCGCTCCCGTGCTCCTCCACCGACAGCATCCTCTTCGCCCCCATCGACGATTCGCCGTTGTGATGGTGCCCGGCGTGGTGCTCGTCCGCCTCGTCCGACATCCCCCGCTTCACGCCCCCCAACCGTCCGTTGGCGGCGTGATGATGCCCCCCCAGCTGGTGGTGGCCCGTCAAATGGGGCAATCGCACGCCGGCCCTGCCGGCCAAATCGTGCTCGCCGCCCGGCTGCTCGAGCTGCGTCCGCACCCGCTGCTGTTGGTACTCCATCGGTACGCCGCGCGAATGGTGCAACCCGTACGCGTGGTGCTGGGCGGTTGGTTGCTGTTGCTGTTGCCTGCCCGACGAGGCGGCCACGCCGGGCACGTCGCCGTTCTGGTGCTCGTGCGGGGCGGCGGCGGCCGCGCTGGCGCCGCTTCGGTGCGATTTGTGCACGGCGGAGCGCTGCTCCTGGAAGCCGTGGGCGCGCTTCATCTGGCGCGCCGTCTCCAGCACCACCTCGACGCGATCGGCGCCCTCGTAGTTCACGCAACCCCTGCACACGGCCTCCGTGAAATCGTGCACCATCGCCCACGGCATGCGGGGCAGGTCGCAGAGGTAGCACTGCTGGCGCTTCGCCTGCTGCAGCTGCATCACCGACATCTTCTCGATCGAAATCAAACACCGAACGCTGCGCGGAAAATAAACCGAATCCTGTCACTTGTCACTCTTGTCACTGGGTTAAGCGCGACGCACCATCGATCACTGCACCATAACGGGCCCCGTTTGGAGCCCCGACGAGCTCGTCGAGAGCCCCGTCGAACGAACCGAACGAAAACAAAAAAAAAAACCGGAATCAACCGCGGCGGAATCGAGTATGTCGAGTTGATCGGGCCGGCCTGCTCGGTCGCGCGTCGCGTTCTCTATGCGATGCGTTCGATGCATGCACTCCGGGTTTCGGGGTGGGAACTGGCGCTGTCTCCGTCCGGCCGGCGTTCGAGCCGTTAGCTCCGTCTCGCTCGACGCGCGCTCGCGCTCGTCCGGCTACGGTTCGGTAAATCGTTACACCGGTGACGTCACGTCCTAGGAGAAGACCAATGGCGGCGGGGACGACGTCACGGATTGCGCGCGCCGCCCTAGATTTTAACGTGGATCGTTAGAAAACCGAACGAACGAGAACCGGTTGCCGGCGTTCGGCGGTTATCCGGCGTTCCGGCGATTTCCGAGGCCGACGATTTTGACCTATATTTTGTTCGAAGTTCGAACGGTTCGTCGATCGGTTCTAGGAATATGGAAAGTTGTTTGGGAGAGGAGTACGAACTACAAACCGCCTGCTTCGATCCGTACGGATTGTTTGTTTACCGTTGTAAAATAACCTTTTTTTTTTTTTTTTTTTTTTCAAATTTTTATTGTACTGTAGCTTCCATCGAGAAGGGTTGAATTGTTAAGAATCTATTATTAGGATGTATAAAGAAACGGGATGTTCTAAAATGCAGTTCTAAATTACTATGCTGGAACGTTCACAATGGTTCTGAAGCGTCCTGAGTGGTTCTAGACAGTTCTAAATGATTCTGAAATGTTCTAAATGACTATGGAACGTTCTAAATGGGTTTAAACATTTCTAAACGATTCTGGACCGTTTTAAATAATTTTAGAATTTTCTAAATGGTTCTAAATTGTTCTAAATGATTTTAGACGGTTCTAAATGAATCAGCAGTGTTCTAAATAACTGCGGATTGTTCTAAATGGTTCTAGATAGTTCCAAATGATTCTGGAGCGTTCTAAATGATAAGGAATTGTTCTAAATGGTTTTAGACAGTTCTAAATGAGTCTGGAGCGTTCTAAATATGTACTTCTAGATAGTTTTATATGTTTCTGGAGCGTTCAAAATGACTCTGGAGAGTTCTAAATGGTTCTAAAGCGTTCTAAACGATGATGAAGCGTTCTAAAATTGTTCTAGACAGTTCGAAATGACTCCGGACCATTCTAAATGGTTTTAAACATTTCTAAACGATTCTGGACCCTTTTAAATAATCATAGAATGTTCTAAATGGTTCTAAAGCGTTCTAAATGATTCAGGAGCGTTCTAAATTGTTCTAAATGATTTTAGACGGTTCTAAATGAATCAGCAGTGTTCTAAATAACTGCGGATTGTTCTAAATGGTTCTAGACAGTTCCAAATGATTCTGGAGCGTTCTAAATTATAAGGAATTGTTCTAAATGGTTTTAGACAGTTCTAAATGAGTCTGGAGCGTTCTAAATATGTACTTCTAGATAGTTTTAAATGTTTCTGGAGCGTTTCAAAATGACTCTGGAGAGTTCTAAATGGTTCTAAAGCGTTCTAAACGATGATGAAGCGTTCTAAAATTGTTCTAGACAGTTCGAAATGACTCCGGACCGTTCTAAATGGTTTTAAACATTTCTAAACGATTCTGGATCGTTTTAAATAATCATAGAATGTTCTAAATGGTTCTAAAGCGTTCTAAATGATTCAGGAGCGTTCTAAATTGTTCTAAATGATTTTAGACGGTTCTAAATGAATCAGCAGTGTTCTAAATGACTGCGGATTGTTCTAAATGGTTCTAGACAGTTCCAAATTATTCTGGAGCGTTCTAAATGATAAGAAATTGTTCTAAATGGTTTTAGACAGTTCTAAATGAGTCTGGAGCGTTCTAAATATGTACTTCTAGATAGTTTTATATGTTTCTGGAGCGTTCAAAATGATTTTGGATAGTTCTAAATGGTTCTAAAGCGTTCTAAACGATGATGGAGCGTTATAAAATTGTTCTAGCCAGTTTGAAATGAGTCCGGACCGTTCTAAATGGTTTTAAACATTTCTAAACGATTCTGGATCGTTTTAAATAATCATAGAATGTTCTAAATGGTTGTAAAGCGTTCTAAATGATTTTAGACGGTTCTAAATGAATCAGCAATGTTCTGAATGATTGCGGATTGTTCTAAATGGTTCTAGACAGTTCCAAATTATTCTGGAGCGTCCTAAATAATGAAGAATTATTCTAAATGGTTTTAGACAGTTCTAAATGAGTCTGGAACGTTCTAAATGACTTTTGAGAGTTCCAAATGGTTCTAAAGCGTTCTAAACTATGATGGAGTGTTCTAAAATTGTTCTAGACAGTTCGAAATGACTCCGGACCGTTTTAAATTGTTGTTTTAAATTGTCGACAGTTAAAAATGATTCTGGAGGGTTCTAAATGAGCCTGCATAGTTCTAAAATGATGATGGAGCGTTCCAAATGGTATTCTGCAATTTTTAGTGCATATTTTCTAAGCTCTAGTCGGTACATAATCGATATTAAATATTGACAAATAATCACCCGAAAGCGACCTTACAATGAGTAAAACTCTTATCGGTATCCTACCGAAAACTAATTGACGTAATAATAATAATAATAAATATGTATAGGATATAATATATGTATATAAAGCAGTCGAAATGCAGGATAAACAGTTTTTAAAACAAACAAAACCGCCTATGCGATTATCTTGGCTAGAGTTTTCGAAATACCCAAAACAAATCAACATTTTTCGAATTCGATAAGAGATAAAAGGCCGCTGTTCGGATTACGCGTTCTGTTATTTTCGTACACCACGAAAATTGCGTAATTTCTCCAAACGAAAATCGTTTAATTTACTGGCTTTATAGTATGCTTATAGTTCATTCGCTGAAATTGCGCGGGTTTTGGAATCGATAATAATTTACAGTGAATTATTGCAAGGCAGGTCAGGTACAAGTGAAAGGAGGTAAATTGGATTACAAAAGGAAGATAAATTTTAATCCTATGTATAAAATAGCACGTCTAGTTCCTTTAGTCATAATCTATCTAAAATGTCCGTTCTAAATGGACTGTATTAAATAGTTCTAGACAGTTCTAAATAATTCTGGAGCTTTCTAAATGGTTTTAGACAGTTTTAAACGGTTCTGGAGTGTATTAAAAGGTTCTGAACAATTCTAAATGATTCTTGAACGTTCTAAATGGACCTAGACAGTTCTAAATGATTCTGGAGCATTCTAAATTGTTCTAGACAATTAAAAATGGTTTTGTAGCGTTTTGAATGGTTCTAGACAGTTCTAAATGATTCTGGAAATTCCTACTAATTTCCCAATGTACTACCCTATATCCTACTCAATTCTCTACCTTATATGTATACTCTCTTCTCTCTTCCCACTCGTTTCTACTTTTTTTCCTCTACTCTCTTTCCACTACTCCCTACTTTATTCTCTACCTCTAAGCTCTTCCAACTATACTCTCTACTATCGACACTCTTCTCACGACTCTCTTCCCACTAATCTTTACCAACACTCTACTTACTTCTCTATATCCTCTTCTCTATACTCTCTTCCCACTATTAGCTACTCTACTTTCTTCTCTCTGTATACGCTCTTTTCTTGACTCTCTTTTCTTGACTCTCTACTCTCTACTCTCTACTCTCTACTCTCTACTCTCTACTCTCTACTCTCTACTCTCTACTCTCTACTCTCTACTCTCTACTCTCTACTCTCTACTCTCTACTCTCTACTCTCTACTTTCTACTTTCTACTTTCTACTCTCTACTCTCTACTCTCTACTCTCTACTCTCTACTCTCTACTCTCTACTCTCTACTCACTACTCTCTACTCTCTACTCTCTACTCTCTACTCTCTACTCTCTACTTTCTACTTTCTACTCTCTACTCTCTACTCTCTACTCTCTACTCTCTACTCTCTACTCTCTACTCTCTACTCTCTACTCTCTACTCTCTACTCTCTACTCTCTACTCTCTACTCTCTACTCTCTACTCTCTACTCTCTACTCTCTACTCTCTACTCTCTACTCTCTACTCTCTACTCTCTACTCTCTACTCTCTACTCTCTACTCTCTACTCTCTACTCTCTACTCTCTACTCTCTACTCTCTACTCTCTACTCTCTACTCTCTACTCTCTACTCTCTACTCTCTACTTTCTACTTTCTACTTTCTACTCTCTACTCTCTACTCTCTACTCTCTACTCTCTACTCTCTACTCTCTACTCTCTACTCACTACTCTCTACTCTCTACTCTCTACTCTCTACTCTCTACTCTCTACTCTCTACTTTCTACTCTCTACTCTCTACTCTCTACTCTCTACTCTCTACTCTCTACTCTCTACTCTCTACTCTCTACTCTCTACTCTCTACTCTCTACTCTCTACTCTCTACTCTCTACTCTCTACTCTCTACTCTCTACTCTCTACTCTCTACTCTCTACTCTCTACTCTCTACTCTCTACTCTCTACTCTCTACTCTCTACTCTCTACTCTCTACTCTCTACTCTCTACTCTCTACTCTCTACTCTCTACTCAAATTATAATGTATTGAATTGACAGAATTTCTGGATTAAACTCTCCTCATTTACGATTATTAGCAATAAAATAAATCTATTAATAGATTAAAGTAATATTACTTCGAGACCTAAGCGTATGTTCAGCGAATGGACTATAATTGCGTATATTTATTTATCTCGAACCGAAATATACGCGGTATTTATAAACAAACGACCGGCGATAAACAAATTCGATAAAAACCGAGAGGAAAGTGTAAAGATCGCTTCCAGGCATGGCTTTGCGTCGTGTAAATGTGTAAATTTGTTGTATTTCTGTACATTTTCTATATAAACAACAGTTATATCGACGAAAAGATAACGTTATTACAGAATAAACGTTAAATTGATATTGTTTATATATACGTAATATACAGGGTGTCCCTATCGACGAGTTAAAACTACCTGTAATATGGAAAATATGTAGATGTAATAATAAAAATTTCTAAGTTGAAATTTTCGATCTTTTTAACTAAAATATTTTTAAAGATGGCCGACTTCCAGATCTACCGGTTCTACTGAAAATCAACTGTAATTTTAAATAAGACACCCTCTATTTTATATTAGATACAAATTATGATTCCTTATTAAATTATT